ACCTAATGGCTTTCATGATCGCCAGTACGTCCTTTAGTTAAATCTGGATGGTGTAAAGTTGTAATTTAAAGGTTGGTAGTACAGTGGGCAAAACAAAAGGTAAGTTGAATAAGCCACCCTTGTCCTTGGTGCTGATTGGCTGTCATTTCAATCCAACTTTCTTTTCATTGTTGCTGATTGGCTGTCAATCCAATCCAACTTACTTGTCCTTGGTGCTGATTGGCTATCGTCTCAATCCAACATTCTTGTCCTTGGTGATGATTGGCTATCATTTCAATTTGACTTTACTGTCCTTGGTGCTGATTGGGGGGATGCAGCAAATAAAAGTCCACATCCACATATACCTACATGAATGCATGGATCAGTGCAGGTTGCAGGTAGACATCAGAAATACCTGCACAGCTCCAATTTTACCTACACCAGTATTTTGAGCCCTGGAATCCCAAGATGAATTTCCAGCGTACTTTGTTTTGTTCCTCAGGAAGTGCAGAAGTGGATGTTAGAGAAGCGGACAGAGAGGAGGAGTGAGTATCTGAAACAGCTGGAGGAGCTACGCAGCACGGAACACCAGCCGTACAAACCTGCACAGGACTCGCCTAAACAGGTCAGTACAGAACACCAGCCATACAAACCTGCACAGGACTCACCTAAACAGGTCAGTACAGAACACCAGCCATACAAACCTGCACAGGACTCACCGAAACAAGTCAGTACAGAACACCAGCCGTACAAACCTGCACAGGACTCACCTAAACAGGTCAGTACAGAACACCAGCCATACAAACCTGCACAGGACTCACCTAAACAGGTCAGTACAGAACACCAGCCGTACAAACCTGCACAGGACTCACCTAAACAGGTCAGACTTCTCAGCAAAACTTGCTGTAATAATTACTTGTTAACCAACTGTCCAATGAGGCATCCAATGAAATTTCAGGGCAGCAAAGTTTAGAATATTCTGGATGAGGAAATATGTCTCATATTGGCATTAGCTGCCATTTTTTAGCATATTTAATACTTAACGCAAACAGTTAATCATTGTATTGTGTTATTACTTTCAAACGTCCTACATGTAACCAGTAGGATCAACCTAGTGAGGTATGTGGAAGACAGTACAGGAGCATTGTCCACTTGGCACAAACTTACACACAAGTCAGGATAGACTCCCCAAGCCACCAGCACATGTGTGTGATCTTTGAGTTGACTGGATGCTATCACGTTTACATGTAGGGTGTTTCTTTCCTATCTTCCCTAATTGCTTTTTCTCAATTACTTCCTGGTGCACCCACTACTGCATAAAAATTTCCCTCTACATCAGAAGAACTTGTTGGAGATTTTCTTATGTATCTTTGTGTATATCTACAGAAGACTGAAGGCTGAACTTTATTTTTCATTTCCTACAGATTTTTCAAATTGCATGTAAAATTTTTGCCATCATGCTATTTTGCACAAAACTGAAAAGAAAAGTATTTCAAGCCCTGGTCATTTCAAAAGCACTGTCTGACTATGGTAAGAATGGCACTTTAATTTCTAACACCACAGTAGAGTGCATACACCTACTGTAGCCAGATGTCATGGTGTCATGTTTAAATGTTTGTTCTCAATGCTGACATTTCCCCACTTCATCCAGGGTGCAACCTGGAAGCAAATCCACCAGGCAGAGAAGGAGATGGAAGACAGGAGAAAGTAGGACAGTTTTCTTTATTTCTGCATGATGTTTTTTTTAATTACCAGACATTGTCATCCTACATGCAGTATGTGTCATTTTGAAATCTTTTTACAGATGCAATAGTCTGAATTGAGTACAGATTTACAATCGCGTATTTTTTTAATTTTTACGTAATGTGTCATTCTCAAAACATAAGAAAACATTGGTATCTCTTAATGATTTGAGGACTCATAGTTGAGTTAACAGTACATGTACTGTCAAAATAACAGAAAGTGTTCACAGTTCAATGTCCCTTGTTCAACAGGATTACAAGATAAGGTATAGGAGAGTTTTTTCAGTCCGTTGGTATGGCAAAGTGTTGTGTTCAGTTTCTATTTGTTACGAGTACGCTCAAAGGAGTATTTCTGTTTTTAGGGCTCTGTTGAGAGAGAACATGTCTGAACGCGTGAAGCAGGCGTATGACCTGATGGGAGACATTGTGATTGACACCCCCGAGCTCCCTGCCTCCAGCCTACCTCCTCCCTCTGTCAAGAAAAAGAAACCTGCAAGACCCGGTAGTTCTACTAGAGGGCGCTCTCCACCACGCAAAGGGCTGCCGAAGTCTTCCACACCTATACCCAGGTCCCAGACTTGGAGGATGCAGGATACAGGTTTTGATGTTGATGAGTATGATGTTGATGATGCATACATAGAGGAACTACTACAGGACAGTGGAGAGGCGCAGAGAGACATGTTACAGACTTACAAAGTCAGGGATGTGTCCAAGATAGGCCAACAATCTGACACACAAGGTACTGTAAAGTTTGAATTTTTTTCTTTTGTTTTCTGAGTTCACAAGTTTTGCAGGGACCTGTCACTACAATCTCATATGTTCTATTGTGTACTAGTGATTTTAATGATGAAGTCACAACTATTTTTTCACAGTACTAGTGATGATAAGTGAATTGTTTGGACAAGCTATTTACAACGCATGAAAATAGTTCATCACAATAATTTTGGTCCATGAAGGAAAGGTTTTGTATCATATTGTGGCCATATCTTTTATACATCATAATGGTAGACCTTATGAAGTAATCTTTCACAAATGGCATGTTCTCCAGCTGGGCGCAGACCAAAACCCTTCACGACGCTGGTGCGGCAGCAGAGGCCAGAGGCAGCCAGAAAACAGGCCTCGGGCAAACCGAAGACCTACGCTGAGAGGCTAGCTGAAGCCAACGCCAGCAAGATCCCCAGGCCAGCCTTCAACAAGCTCAGGGACAAACAGAGGCTCTACGGTGGGTTTATGTTTTATTATGAAGAATTATGGCACAATTTTGGTCTGTTGTGAGCTGAAAAATTCCATCAAATGACAGAAAGATTGTCTTTCAGCATCAAAGGTAATAGTGTCACTGTGTGCTAGCTAACATGACAACTCACCATTAGTTACAATCTTAATTTGTAGTAAATTCTGAAAAACCTTGTAAGGCTGAAAATTGCACAATTTGTTTTTCAATAGTACAGAAAACTTATAATAGCAATGCTTGCACCATCGCTGTAGATACATTGTGCTTGTTTTAACAAGCAAATTTCATGTTCTTTGATTTTTTGTGAACTGAAGCATTTGTATGACGGTATTTTGCATGTTCCTCACTTGCACTGTGATTTTAGCATTAATTCCTTTAACAATACATTTTCTAGTGGTGTGTACAACAACTATTCACTTCAAGTTAACCCACACAGCACTAAGCATGTCATAAACATCACCATTGATACACCCCGCACACGTATAGGCACCACACGGCTGCCTGGCACGGCCAAGTCTAGGGAGAAGACCTCTCCCCGCGTGGTGAAGACCTACGCACAGCGGTTACAGGAGCTCCGCCGCACTCCTGGCTCTACCTACTCTAGAACTATACTCACAACTAAGGGTGATGGTGAGGTGTCTTTACTAACAGTAACATCTGATTGTACCATCTCTGTATCCATTTTAACATCTCACTGTTCCTGTTTTTCTTTCGGGTCTGCCTGTCCGTGTGTATCTTACTTCACTATGTGATTTTTCTGTAGTCCTTTTGTGATCTCACAGCTATGTATTATCATCTACACTCTGATAATGTGTGATCAAACTGCCCTTACTCAAGAACTGTGATAGAAGTTTGAACATGTATCCCCTCCTTTTAGTTTAGTCTATTGTTGGCTCCCTAATGCTATCCTCTAATTAAACTCTAACAAGAAACAATGTTCTGTTACAGCAGTTCAACCTGTATAAAACTGTACCATCATGATGTTTTTGTTGCATGAAAAAATGTCTTTCAGTTTTAGGGTGTGAGTGAAAAATATGAACAAAGCAATAGACTTATGATTATGACATTGTGATGTGCCTCACTGTATTTTCATCTCACTGTGTTTGCATTGATGTGTTTGCATTGATAAACATGTATTAGAAATACCTGATATACTAGTAACAGATTTACATGCTCTGGTAAGTGTCAACTGTCAACTCTTTGATACATATAAATTCATTTTTTGCATAGTTACAAAATTTAATGACTTTTAGCACAGGTATAATAAACAGGTATATTATAGTCAGTCAGTATGTTTCTAACTTAAAGTGTTAGCACTCCTCAGTTCCAAAAGTAAACTTGTTGCCTTATGATTTAGGGGCTTCAGGAGGACCAGCCAAGAACCGTATGCAGGAGGTGACCAAACGTGGTCTGCACAGCGAACCCAAACCTCGCAAGTACGCGTCCACGTACGCACAACGGTTACAGAGCCAACAGCCGGACACTGGGAGAAGGGGTGAGAAGCATATGTGTTGTGTTCTAGGCCATGTTGTTTTGATTATATGGAGTTTAGGGGTTCCTCTGGAAACCCCTAAACTGATGCAAGCTTGCAAAAAAAAAAGGTTGGTAGAAAAAAGTTGCCTTCATTTTGAATTAATTCTATGTGGTCATGAAGGATGAACAATTGACTAAACACACAGAGTATGGCACGGAGAATAATAGACTTTTCATTTCTATTTCTTCACATTGTCTTCCTTTTCTTTCAAATTGATTTTGTCATTCTACGACATTAGTGCTACAGGTATTGTTGGTGTTTATCATGTTGTTGTTGTTTATCAGGTGGCAGGGTGAGCCCACGTCAGCCCGTGGGGAAGAGATTCGAAGGTCCCCGACACAAACCCAAGACATACTCCCAGCAGCTGCAGGAGATTTCTGCTGCTGCGCCCAAGGGCAGGCCCAGACTGGCTTATAGTATGTCAGACATGTACACACTGTCAGTCTTTAATTTCTCTGTCTCTCGCTTTACAAAGAACGTTTGCACATTACATACTAGTAGTAATACTCCAAATTTTTTCTTCATTAGCTGGTACATCATCCAGAGGCTTGAAGTCCCCGTCCATGCGGACACAGACATTGCGCCATGCGCCGTACCCGGACGTGTACGAGTCGGTACTGGAGGACATCTCGGAGGCGAGCACGGCCAGCCTGCTCCGCAGCACGTCAGACGACGTCAGGAGAATCCTGCAGGAGGAGGACATCTTTGGGGTAGGAAAATTAAACTGGTCTCTCATGGATGTTGTTTTATTTGGAAGATACTGAAGGTCTCACACAGATGTTCCCTTGTTCAGAATTCAGCAGACACTAAGTCTCTTTTTTCTGTCTTTTCACAAGAAAATGACCCAAAAAGAAATCAGCTATGGCGGAAGCTAGATTTCAGTTTCATGCACTGACTAAAAAATCAGTTGAAAAGAAGTCGTGAAAGGGCTTCTTGAACACTTGTAAGAAATCTAACTCCATACTTCTCCTTTTTATAGGACGGAGGTGCAAGGCCTAAATACAGAGACTACCCAGACTATGATGCTGCCAGTCTGTACGATGTTGGAGATGACATATTGGGAGATGACTACATCACCAGTGTGGACCCTGACCAGCTGAGTCAAGCCTCACAGAGCACAGGCAGCATCCTCAGTAACATCAACTGGGACGAGGTGGAGCAACTCATCGCAACTGTGGAATGATGAAAAAAAACCCTGTTTGAAATTGGTACAACCCGTTGATCTCTTTATTATTTTCTGTGGATGGATTGGTTGATTTGAATTGGAAGGGGGAGCTTTCTTGATGATGCAAAGTAGCATATTTGAAGAAGAAGATGCTGAATTGTTGGGACTTAGAAGTCCCAAAAATGAGAAAGTTGGTATAGTGAGTTGCTTGTGATATCTGCCAATACTTCCCAAATGTATATCTAACACTAACAGATCATTGTTGAAGATTGTTTTGTCTCATCACGTGACAGTGCTTTTCAAATTAGTCTGTGGTGCTTTCTGTGACAAATACAAAGAGAATTTTTTGCCTTATCAGAATTGTTGCAATTGTCGAGGGTATGCAGGGAATATGTCTATTGCTTGGTCATGTCTTTGGCTTGATCACTGTCTTGTTGTAAACAATGAATTCAACTTTGTAGTATGTAATGTAAGACAGTCTGTACACGTTTTGCAAAAGTCCACCTGTAAATTGATGGATTACAAAAACGCTCATCAAGAGTTATTTGTAATGTATACATGTAGAGCTGCTTCCTGTTAATGTGTACATGTATTTTTAATGGCATTCCAAGATGTTATAGTTTAACAGTTTGGCACAAGTTGTACATTTTATGAAATTTGTGAAGAATGTTCCAGAATCTATGGTGCCATGATAAAGGTAATGTTGCTGCAAACTTAAGTACTTCCTTTTGTCTTGTTTATTGAATAGTAACTGTTGTAGCATCAGATATTGCACAATACATTACCAGACACCCATAGAAAAATAAAAATAACAAAAAACATAACCTTATTGGCCAAGGTAATATTCTAAGTCTGTTCATGAGGCTACGCTACACCCTACATATTACCGTCACGAAAACCCATGGCCAAAACACTTAAAAGTACTGCAATAATAGGAGCAAGTTAGCCAACATTTAAAAATAACCATTTCTTTCGCTATCCTACCCTTTCAGGCAGCAAGAAATCTGGCTTAGAGAATATTTCTGACACATATTTCCTTGGTCAAAAGTCAGCTGGTATGTTGTATGTTGTACATTCAAGGAATTTCTTAAAAGTCAATACAACCAAGCAGAGTTCCCACTGTATCACCTTTATTTGTAAATAATAGAGCAGAAGATCTAATGTTCAATTATTTGGAAAAATACAAACAACTGTCAAAAGGAAACAACACAACAGAGTCCAGTATACAGTACATGATGCTGAGTAGGTTAAACTACAGTACCGTGTTTTAAAACATTAGGTTTATATACACCTTAATCATAAAAAGCGAATAACAACTACCTAGACGGGCGTATTATCATTCTTTATCTAGATAAAAATATGTGATCTGATATGTGATCTGATATGTGGATCCATGTCATTGTCCGGCTATTCCCATGTGCTTTTATGGATAAAGAAACACCATGACAGGAATATTTCATCTGTTGAATATACATATACTCCAGGCTTACATGCATAAGCTAATGGTATGTGATTAAACAAATTGCTGCCAGCAAGGTGTAGATTTTTTTAAATAAATGACACGAATAGCTAATGTTTGCACTCTTCACATGACATTTAGTACAACTGCATTGCTATTTTCCACTGCGTAGACGACCTATTCATTAACTAGTTCAATGAGGAACACTTAGTCTAGTTTTAAACTTAAAGAAACGCGTTTCCTTCTCCGGTCCATTGTTCGTCCGTACGTCCGTTGTTCTTTTTCTAAACAGCACATCCATTTCGTCTTACACAGGGTCTATTGGGGAAGCAAAGATAAATTAGTTTGTGATTCTGCTTTATTTGGTTTACCGAAGGCTAATGGACACTCCTCTGGGCAATGGATACTGTCTTACCACCGTAGTATCTGTTTACATTGTTTATTGAGATCTCCATTAGTATGGTAAACTCCATACTATTCTTCCTGGAGTCCAAAGGCCTGTAGGTACAAATTAAAACTCCTACAGGCACAAAACTCCCACCGGGTGGCCAGTTTAGCTGGGCGGGTGGAAACTACTACAGTCCCGAAGAGAACTCGCCCTAATCACGATAGATTGAACACCATGCTAACGGTCTGGAGTGGTACTCACTTGTTTGACAGATGTATCTTATACGCCTGGTGCACTGCCAGCACACCCACTGGAAAGACTTTCCCCGGTTCAAGTACACACAGTCGTTGTGCGCCCTGTTATAGCCATGCCCATTGAAGAACGCCTGGTAAGTTCCCAGTGCTTCCCCGTCGCTCCAGACAAAGCTTCCCTCCGTTTGGCGGTCATCAAGACCAATCCAGTAATTCCTATTATAATAAAAAAAACGGTTAGCTGGTCAGTACAAGCGCATCCCATGAACATTTAATATAATAATTGAAAATCCAATTTTGCCGCCCTGAAATTGCATTGGATCTGTATCTGTGTAGCCGGTATAACCGCCCTTCGGCGTAACACACCAGCTTTGCAGGCGCGCGTCGCGGCGGCGGCAGCTTTACATATCTAACTGCAGGAGTCATTTAATGCTTTCTACTGATAATGCCCCAACTTGGTGGCAGCGAGTTCCTACGACAGTTCTAGGAAAATATGAGTTTATGAACACCTCAATTCTTGATTGATATTAACTCTGGTATTTGAAGGCATGACTACTTCTTGTTCTTTTCTGACCTTCAAATATACAACAATACATAATACATTCTCATTGTCAACTGAGAGATTAGAGCGTGTCGCGTAGCGGCAGAGTGCTTGACTCGGAAAAAAGAGGTCCCGGGTTCGAGTTCTGACATGCCACCGATCTTGTGCCCTTGGGAAAGGCACTTTACACGACTTTCCTCACTTCGCTCAGGTGAAAATGAGTTACGTTTGGTATTGTCCCCTGTGTTGGTGGCAGCATTAACATATTAGTTGAAAAAACTGGAGTGTGCCGTCACCACGTCTTGTGATTACATGTTGGAATATAAAAAAAAACAGAGAGATTGATATTCATTTACTAAACATTAGAGTTACACCACTTACGTATTCTTTACGATGCTCTTCAGGAAGTTATGGGTGGCCAGGTCCTTCACACAGGCCAGTTTGCCGTTATGGTTACCGTCGCAGTTGGTCGCAGCTTGGTCAACATTCGCAGCGGTCGTCGAGATATGGTAGCACTTCCCGTTGCCAGCAAACATTTGGTACCCACTTGGGCAACCTGATAATAAAATGAAAATAATAATAATAAAGAAATTAAAAATTAAAAAAAATTATAAATAGAAAAATAAAAATAAGATTTAAAAATATAACACTGCATTACCGAGCAAAGTCGCAAGGGGAATCTACATTCAACCATTTTGTATTGTTTTATTTATTCGTACATACGTACATAAATAAATGACAAAACCTAAGATAAAAGGAAAACACATAAGAATAGTGTGCTGGGGGAAGGCAGAGACCAATTTTATCTATCCGAAGTCTTCCCCACGACTACCAAAACCGACTTGAGGAAGGAAGATATTTTTAAGAACCAGGTCCATAGCGGCCAGAGAAGTAAAGATAATCCTTGGCTGAAAAATACCACATTAATCTGCTGAAAGGTTATGCACAAGAAGTATCATGTCTTTTTAAGTAAGATAGGAATAAAGGATGTCACAGCACGGGGTTGAACAGGACATGATTGCAAAGAATGTCACTCACTGAGTTCGCAGTTTGTTCCCGTGTATCCAGAGAAATTGTGTGTACAGTCACAGATGTAGCTATCGTCACCCGTCACCCTACAGGTCCCGCCGTTCTCACACGGCGCAGAGTCGCAGGGGGTGACCGGGGCTGGAACGTTTCACGTCAACAAGTCAGTGTCTATGTTCTTATTTATGTTTACATGCGTAGGTAAACATCAGTAAAAACATTGACACTGAAGTTGTTCTTATTCATGTTTACCTTCGCAGAAGAAAAGCATTCTGTTTTATTTTTTTTGCTCTGTTTCTTCTTCTCCGAACATAAGGTCAATGACCTGGTCCATGCGGATGTCACCATGGTAACTGGTGCTGTAGCAGACACCCTGTGGTGTTCGGTAATATTATGCATGTAGCAAGTGGCCCGACTGAGTTGGAGGGGCTGGTCACAATATACATGAATATGTTTGAGTACAAATAAACAGATTGGAACGTAGTTTGTTAGACTAGAGTTTAAGAAGGTAAACATTTTGCATTTTCTTTGCAAATGTTACCTTTCTAGTTAATTATCTATTGGCATATCGAAAGTCAACGGTTATAGAGACAGTTACCCAGAACACTAGACTAAGTAAGAAACGCCACCAATCTTTGGTAACTTGCAGCTTGTACTTTACTGGAGATAATCTTTACGTGAGGGAAGAAACTATTCAGCATTATAAGCTGCAAATGTCGGCTATCTTGTACTGAGAAATGATTTCTACTCACGAGCTGGAGTCGTTGGCTCGATCAGAGCTACAAGGAAAAAAATAAGAATGTTAGTGAATTTGCCATTTTCTTTTATGTGAATCTTAGAATATAATTTTTTGTGTTCGGAGTTTTAAGTTGTGTTTTAAGTTACTGAAGTTAATGGATATCAGTGACTGCAAATTGATTGGTCAATGTACTACATGCAAGTTGATTTTTAATAAAACTGATAGGTATAAGTGAAGTTCATCGTCACATCTCTGTTGTACAGATGACTTACGCAGTTCGCAGATGAAGTAGTTTTCTTCGTTACAGTCCACGGGGACCCATCCGCCGCTGTCGATCCCCACACAGTCCTTCAGGGCGGTGTTCCACGTGCCGGGCTTCCACGGCTCGAACGGGGGGCTGGCCCGGGTGCCATCGCCATGCCTGGACGTAGCAGAACATACGCTCGGGTGTTTGTTATCTTCGCAAAGAAGGTTATGTTTTCCATATAGCGTCTGTGTGTGTGTGTGTATGTATGTATGTGTGTGTGTGTGTGTGTTTGTGTGTTTTTCTGGTTTAGCATGATAATTCAAGAAGATTCCATGGATTGTCATGAAACGTGGTAAGTAGGTAGGTCTTAGTAAGACCTATTTCTTTCTCAACACTTTTGAAATAGAATACTCCACACTAAAAGTACTTTACCTCCACACTCCCTCCTCCTGAATGTCGTCCAGCCCTATGATGTCGCACCTCCCGATCGGGACCAGACGGGACAGGAAGTCGTGAGTTGCCGGGTTCTTGTCTATGGCGAGTCGGCCGTACATCCCCTCGGACTCACACGTGGCTTCAGCCGCCTCGCGGGTCCCGGGCGACTCCGACAGCTTGAAGCAGCTGGACCCGAGCTGATGCCAGCCGTCTTCACAGTCTGTGATGTATACAACATTTTGTCAACGTTTTGTTTCTATCAGCTGCATAATTCGACTTTTGTTCACATTGATTGGTACGGAAAAAGTGTGTGTTTCTTCCGTCCTTTCTTTTTCTTTTTCTTTGTCTTTTCTTCCTTCCATTCCTTTCCTTTCTTTGCCTTTCAAATTTTTGACCCTCTGATTTCTCTTTCTTTTTCTTTTCTTCCCTTCCTTTCATTCCTTTCCTTTCTTTCTTTAACTTCTCTTCCGTTCCTTTCATTCGTTTCCTTTCATGCCTTTCCTTTCTATTCTTGTCTTTTCTTCCTTTCGTTCATTTCTTTCCTTTTTTTTATTCCAACATGTAATCACCAGACGTGGTGACGGCACACTCAAGTTTCAACTTATATTAATGCCGGCACCAACACAGGGGACAAATACATGACAGGACAATACTCATTTTCACCTGAGCGAAGTGAGGAAAGTCGTGTAAAGTGCCTTTCCCAAGGGCACAAGATTTCTTTCCTTCTTAATCAACTATAGAATCCCTTCTTTTTTTCTCTATTTACCTATAGAATCGCTTCATTCTTTCTGTCTACCTCTATTAAAGTCAGGCAAAAACGTAGATTTTGGTTCCTTACTTCCGTACGCCGGGGTAGTGGTGGGCACGTCCGGTAACTCGCACACCCGTCCGGTGAATCCCGCGGCACAGGTACAGGCGAACCCGCTGTTAATCAACGGCTGGCAGGCTCCGCCGTTCAGGCACGGGTTGACGGCGCACCGGGAGTAGTCGGTGGGACCTACGTTCAAACACATCATACTGTTCATAAGCCTGATGAATATGACAAATGTCTAGATTTTACTTTTTTTGTTTCCTTCTTTCTTCGCGGCGTAGCCTCTACCACGCGGGATGTAGTAAATACTCCTGGCGTGTTACCTGTCTACTCTTTTCAGCCGCTTCCGAAGCCTGATAGAGGCTATTTATTTCGGGAAAACTGACTGAATTTCTATCATTCAGCAATATTAAGCAGCTATCCCGATGACCAGTTTGACCCAGTGTTTACGCCACACAGAGAAGCCACGTGACAAGTCTCACTGGGTCAGTTTATTGAAGACGACCAGAGTGACTGTCCGGAAGTTCTACAAAGGTGAGAACAATTCTCTTGTGTTGGGACAAAAGTTTTAATCAAACACAGATGAACTTTTATGATAATGGTAAGGGAAGTTTACTCACAGTGGCCGTACACCCTGACGTCCGTTAGGTACTGCAGCAGGGGCACTCCTCCCACCACGGTGTAGTCGGCGGCCGGGGAGGCTTTACTCACCACGTGCAGGCAGCTGGGCGTGACCCAGTCAGTGAAGTACACGTGCGTTTCGTCTACGTCTGAGGAAAGGCAAGAGAAACGTCCAAAAATACAGCATTTATTCATCAGCCCAGTCTATGAAAACATGATGCACAACAATGGCCAAAAACATGTATGCAAAATAGAGCTTTGAATTAATAGTGACGTCCCTATATGTGTATTGACTATGCGTACCGCATGGATACTTTATGGGACCTACCTAGACCGTACATGTTGGCGCTGCCGCCTTGGATGGTCAGGAATGACTCCCTGTTGCTGCCGTCCATGTCAGCCCTCTCAATGACACCACGCGATCCATCGCCCCAGTACACTTTACCCTCTGTGGGGAAAAGCATTTTGAAAGCTGTTAGCAAAATATTTCAAGGAAATGCGATATTTAGATGTACGAAGTCGTCGGTATCCAAAGTTTACGGTCAAGAAAAAGCTAGGTCAGTTTTCTGAAGGCTACACCACCTAAGCAACTGCAAGTGAACTGCAGCGCGCCAGACGTTTTCGATAGACATTTATTCCAAGTGGTAGAATTACTAATACAGTATAACTGGTATTCAATACTCTGAGAAAGTGGAAGAGTCAGTGAACGATCTTATATCACAAAGATTGCTTCGGCAGCTAACTTAGACAGCTAATTTCATCTCAGCGGGAGCTCTACCCTGTCACTGTCCATGGTGCTGAAAATCCTTTGAATGCGAATGCAAAGAAATGGCAAACTACATAATCCTAACACATAACGAGAAGAGTGGCATGTTTACCTGCGGAGTCCACAGCTATGGCGTATGGCTTGACGAGGTTGGTGCTCGCGATGACAGCCAGGCCGCTCCCGTCACGGTTCGCACGCACGACCCTCGGGCTGGACCCGCAGTCCGTCCAGAAGATGAATCTGTCAGACACCGAAGAAAAGTTTTGTTTGTGTTTGTTTCCAATACTAGTGTCAGAAGTCGAAACGGCATTGACACTGTGGTGATGCTATTGCAATACATTAGGTCTGTCAACTTCAAACCAACCGGATTCTCTCCCTCTGTGTGTGTGTGTGTGTGTGTGTGAGTGTGTGTGTGTGTGTGTGTGTGTGTGTGTGTGTGTGTGTGTGTGTGTGTGTGTGTGTGTGTGTGTGTGTGTGTGTGTGTGTGTGTGTGTGTGTGTGTGTGTGCGCGCGCGCGCGCGAGGGCGCGTGTCTGTCTGTCTGTTTGTTTGTCTTTGTCAGTGACTGTTCCATTGCCATTAGTTCAAATGTGTGTAACCGACTGTAAACTTTCCACCTAACACAAACTCTCGCTGATCGGGTTCTAGATAGCAAATGTCTCACAGGATCGCCAGGGGCGTGCTTTCAAGCAGGCTAGGCCGACCGATTGTCTGTGCAAAGAACCGGTTTTCTGACTACTTTTCAAGGTTGCCGTATTGTGACATGATGTCACTTTTGTGGGCGGAGTTACGTTTCTGGAGTCTGATTTATCTCTTAGCTACAGATTTATCTCTTTGCCTGGAGCGGTATGATATCATCTTAAAGAAAGGGGCGTGGCCTAAACGTATGCGCGCTGTGATTGGATAAGCGCCACACAATAGGCTTTGTGACGTATCGGGAATACCAAGAAAAAGTGACCATTGGGAGTTTCCCCCTCTCCTCCCAACAAGTGTCAGACATCTATTTTTAATTGTCCTCGATTATTTTGGAGTTTCCCTGCGCATGCGTTGCTTTGTACTACCAATACAAGGAGGTTTAAACCTCCTTGGTACTACAAAAGCTTACTAGTAAAGGTACTACAAAAGTTGATTAATTTCATAATTTCGTCGGGTTGGTAGAACCTGTTGTGTATCAGAAAATCCCAATATCTTAAGCTCGGTTGAATGTTTGTCATGCACCAATGACTTGACCATCGGCAGTTGTGCCATATTTCAACTACCTGTCGCTATAATCATGAAGTGGGCGGTTCAGAAACACGACACGAACCCTCTTGAGTAACAAAATGGAGGCCCGCGGTGCCTGACACCACGCATGGGTAGTCTGACCGGTTCTAAAACCACAAAATGGCGGGCCTTTGTAGTGAGGGCAATTATGAAAGACTTACAAAATCAAGACTAAGGCCCATATTAATATTCCATGTCGCAGGAACGCCCGTGCACATTACCTTTATGTATATTATGTACTTCTTTTTCCTCATTGGTGTGTCCCTTATGTCAGAGAATATGAGTTTTTTTTACTATTAACATATGAAATGCTTTGACTCGTCGACGCAGTTTTACTATATGTTGATTAATCGTCATGTAATGTAATACTTTTAACTGATAAACTGTTGTTGATTGACAGAATTGTCTTTAATTGGCAAAATGTTAAATCAACACAATTCAGTCGAGTTCAAGACTGCCAGGTTGATTGAATAAAGTTTGAGTTGATTTGTTTGATTTGCCCTACCCGCGTAGTGAGTCGGTGGCGATGGCGCAGGGGCGGGACTGGAAGGTCCCCGGCACGACCGTGGTCCGACTCCCGCCGTCCAGGTCTGACGACTCGATCTTATTCCCGCTGGCGTCGGTCACGAAGAGCTGACTGCTGCCGTGGTCGATGGCGATGCCGTAGGGCTCTGGTCGTCATGTTTGGGGGATAAATATATAATGACACCACACATTATATTTTCGAGGGAGATTTTCCCACCTATGAAGCAAATTATACTTTTGGTTATACTTAACACATTACTTGCGCTATTCAATGGACCCTCGCCTCAGATTTCTTTCTTTCTTTTTTTCTTTCCCTCTTGCTTTTCAGTCAGATGAACTGAAAATGCTCTTCAAACTTTTCTCTTTCTTATTTTTATCATTCATTCATTCATTCATCATCTTTTCGTATCTTCATTCTTTCATCCACGGCCACACCATCCTTCTTTCCTACCTTTTGGTACGGTCAAATTAAAAATTAGTCATTTCGAACTTTCCTATCAATAATTCATTCATTCATTCAATCATTCATCTTTTTCGTTTATTCTCTTTTTCTTTCCTTCATCCAATACTCTTGCTCTCTGTCCCCACCTTGTAGTCCCGTGTCGTGTATGAGGTCGATGGTTCCTGACCCGTTCCTGTGTTCCCTCTCCACGCTGCCGGATGCCGGGTTGTCGAAGATGTTGGTCCAGTAGACTTCATTCTCGTCCGGGTCGAAGTCGTTTGCCCAGGGCTGGACCATAAAATAAGCAATGCCATTGTCATGCGTTTCGCATTGGACTTAACCTGTATCTTTTGTCTTATTACCTCGATATCTGACAATGATTGTAATATTTTCAATGACAATGAACTTTATTGCACATTAACACTATACGTGGGCCAAATACATATAGGAATTTATGTTCTAATTGTAGGGAACTAATAAAAAAGATTTGCGCATGTCTGTGTATGACACTATGAAGTACCAGCCGAACCTCAACCGAGACGGGGGCCGATATCGCCTACCAGGCATATACGATTGCTTCCATGCTAATGAAGTACCTTATGGGTCCTGTCGTAGACAATGGTGTGGTAGTTGAACGTCTCTCCGGTGAAGTTGACGTGCAGGACGTGGCGTGTCCCTCCCCAGGAGTGGTGCGGGTCCGTCAGGAACACCGTCCTGATCCCGGCACAGTCTGCCGAGCCGGCGGACCGGTCTATGGGCGGGATGGGGGCCTCCGACACGCCGAACCGGGGAGTCGCCGGAGACATGATGTCGATGTTGTTCCCCGCCTGCCGCTTCACCAGGACTTTCGCCTCTGTTTATGGGTGAATAAGAATGAATCGTGAATTTTCCATCACAAGACAGCTGCAGAAAGTTGTTGTGTTGCGAACTAGGGGTCTTGCCAGTCAGTCGACGGAGGCTAGGTCTATTGTTACGACAAGGAAGCAATTATTATTCGCATGACTGGCATCAAGGTAGCACAACAGAGGTTTCACTAAGCCTCTTCTCCATTGAAACATCACGGTTTCAATGTTGTTTACAACCTGTTGAAAAAACAGATGATAGGAAAACAAAACAACAACAAAGAAAAAAATCAAGGCGATCTAAAAAGGGTATCGTAAAAGACTCACCGATGCAAAATGGCGACAAAAGGTAAAACGTCAAGAAGGCCAGGAGTTGTAGCGCGGCCATATCTACAGGAAACCGGGTCAAACGTGACATGTCAATAAAGATGTACAAAAATCATGAACAAAGAAGGAATAGTATTTCATGTGACACTAGGACGTACTCGTCATATCACAGACGTTGTTAAAAACAGCGTCCTTATCAAGACATTTTGAGATAACAACACTTAGACTCAATAAATCTCTGTCGGCGGTAGCGACGGTTTGATCGTTTTTAAAAATCATATCTATCCATGCTATAAGTTCTAAAGACCACAATCTTGCTCATATTTGGTCTACTTTGAACATCACTAGTGACAAAGAAACAATATCGAATTGTCACCTGTGTAATTATGACAAAACAGGGACAAACTCGCTCCCAATGGCGCATGAGGATATAAAAGAACAACTGTCGCAATCATGTTCAACTTACCGATAGTCGAGCAGCTTGTCTGAAAGTCGAATTCTTCGCCTGACTTTTAACTCTGATTGTCAGCAAAACTGTTACAAATTACAGGAAATTTTCAGACGCCCGCTCCTATGTCATGGCACCTTACGTCCGTCCGAGGCACACAAGGAAACGGGGCGAGGAAAAATACTAGTAGATCGTCTTGTCAACCTACAATTATCTCTGTTCATGTGACGTCGAAGGTCAGAAGATCGACACGAAGTATGATAACTCCGCCCACTTTTATGCAAATTTCGATGACCTGACGAGTTGAAGGAGGCGTACATTACTTCCGATGTTCTTAACAGCCTTCGGGCAAGATATGTTACTATCATAACTAGTCTAAAATCTAAGGATATACTTGCTACTCAGCTAACCACGAGTCATAGGGCCGAAAGGCAGATTGTGAAGATCTCGATTTTGTGAAGTTGGAATCCTGTGAAGTCAAGAAATATCGTGTTAGAAAGTGTTCGTCTTGGTTAACAAGTTGTACGATCATGTCAGTCAAACCTTGGTCAAACTGGTTTTGGTTAGTTAGCATAATTAGTAGAAATGATTGTTACCTCAGGCGACACTTTCCCTTTTACCCACAATAGAACAATAGAAGGGGAACAGCCAAAATCTCTCCCCCAAACACGTACACTTTTACCTGCTATTTCCGAAGATTTGACAACACTACCGATTTGGACTTTAAAAATCCCTACGTTTTCGATCGAAGGGTATTTTACTGTTTACCGTATTCACAGATTTTTTGACGATGAAATTCACTGAAGATCATTACAAATTTTAGATTAGTGACCAATCTTTTGAATAGCTATTTTCCAAGAGAATGAAACATAATATGCGATCACGTAAATTCATTTAACTGATGATATACATGTGTACATGTATGTCCGGGCGGATGCGACTTTTTACACAAACTAAAATGGACGGCGTATTTGTCTGTCTAGACATTATCAATTGCTTGTCTCTAACACGGCATCTGTAAAGGTCATTGCACATTGTCAGAGCTGTTGTGTCCTAGCCTAGCACAACTAGTGCGCAGTACCCGTTCTGACCGCCAGTATGACTGTCACATTACTAGTACATAACCCTCTTGGCAATGGCAATTATTTTCTCTTTGGGGTGGGGTAAAAACATGTAGAGGTGGTTAGACCATGTTGATTTCATTATATACTAGTAGATGACATCCTCTGGTTTGCGAGCTTGGGAATATAAAAATTAAACTGGTGTTGCCTTACAACAAGAAAGCCGCTCTTGTACTGAGGAACTTTGTGATGGCCTGACTATATATAGGGAATGTAATGACACCACAAGAGAATGTAGGAGTCATCTGTTTTCGGCATGTCTGTGTGTTTATATGTCTGTAGGGCATCCCGGCAAAAATTAGGTCAAAGTGTCGCACAGAAGGTATTGACCCCGATCTTCAAGCAGATGCATGGTGTCGACTTGTTTTTTTGTGTGTAAATATAATTATTGTCTGTCTTTTCATTTTGATTACCGTAGTGTACAGCCGATGTAATCGTCCTTCGCCGTAACACACCAGCCTCGCTGGCACGCGGCGCGGCGGCAGTTGGTTATATTTCTAGTATACTGAACGACATGTCACACACAACCTTTGCACATCTAGCTGCAGGTGTTGTTAGACATAGTATACAAATTGTAATATATTGCACTGTATAATACATTGTATTTTATTACATATACGTATAGATATTGTATACGTACATTGTGACAAGTTCCACTTTTCGAAAGTTTGATATAGGCATGATGAAATTTTGAACACCTCAACCCTTGGCTGATGACTCTGGTTGTATATGACCGCAAACACAGTGACACCTCTTCTTGGAGAGTACGTTGCATCCGGCGGCCTATCGTGTCTTCAGTAAGGCCAGGCCATGTTGAAATAAGCCGTGACAGCCATAGTGCTAACTGTCCGCTATCATGCCAGTTAGAAGGAACTCTGACACACTGCCATACGCTACTAAGTATCCCCATAAATCTATGATTCGAACCAGAAGTAAAAGAAGCCCAAAGTTCTCGTATTTGTCTCTTCAATTTCTACCCCTTTCACATTCTGTATCAACTTTCAAATGTCACCAGAGTTTCAGTCAGCATCTTTGTGAGAATTAGTCGCTGTCGGAAAGAATTGTGAGTGACACAGACGTGGGATCAAGGTCTACGATTTTATATATACATATATATTGCCGAAACAGTGCCTGAAATAGATCCGACTAGTTCGAAAAAGTAGGTCATGATGTCCACTTTTGACTATTGTGAACAACTGGGAGAGCAAAATGAAATGCATTTTCGATTGAATATAAACATGTGCCATGCACCATGATAATGGTAACAATTATGGCTGTTATAAAAAAATATAAATCAAGTACGAAGCGAAACATATTTACTTGAAAAAAACAACAACGTGGCGACGTGCACGTGTGTCTGACTTCTATTTGGTCGCTGTGTCATGCGTGTTGACCTAAATAGCTAACATTGTGGCCAATGCTATAAGAAAGCTGAACAAGCGGCGTCGTGGTGTCAGTAGCTTCACTGGCGGGCGGCAGCAGGCTTTGAGCTCCGGGCCACACATAGCAACAGAGCGCGCTTTATCAAAAAGTAAGCCATCGTCATCATTTTCATTTTAGAATTTCGCACATAACTCTTCTTTTCTTAATCAAGCACCGGTCCATTGTAAAGTGAGAAACATTTTTCAAAAATATTCACTAGTTTGATTTTTTGTAAATATTGTTTGTTTTTAATTCTGTACATGTGTTAATCCTGTTTAAGCCTTTTATGTTCATTTGAATTTAGAATTTAGTACATAATTGTTTTTTCTAGAATTTAGCAATTGCGCATCGGAATGTGAGAAGTATTTTTCAGCATGTAGATTCCTGTAGTTGTTTGTATCCTGTTTAAACTATGCATGTAATGGTAGGGAGACTTAACGAGGCATTGAGTGATAAACTATCACTTTAATTGCTATGTACATAAACATCGAGATCCGTCCTGCAATGCTCCTCGGGATCCTAGAAAGTGCGAAATGGAACGAAATTAAACGAATTGGAACGGAATGGGATGCATGCATGCATGGGAAAACCGGCTCTGATGGTGATCGCCATGAATGATTGATCAGGAAGCATCAAGATCATTTCGTAAAACAGAAATATGTTTTGTAATGATGTTCTTACTTTCTTTTTTTTATTATTTTCTCATCTTTTAGGCCGAAGCAATATGTCATACACACCGCGTAAGAAGACGGCCGGCTCTATGAAGGGTTCGCAGCCTAACAACCCTTATGGTCAGCAACAGGGGTATGACCAGTACGGGAAGGGTGGTCAGCAGCAGTACGGCCAGGACCAGTACGGCCAGCAGGACCAGTACGGGAAGGGTGGTCAGTACGGCTCAGACCAGTACGGCCAGCAGCAGCAGGGTCAGTACGGGAAGGACCAGAACTACGGCATGGACCCGAAGATTGGTCAGCAGCAGTACTACGGCCTGGGGCAGCAGTTTATCGGACCGTATGGACAGACGGTGGGATACAGGTGAGGCATTATCATATTTCAAACCATTTGAATCAACATAGCAGAAATACGCATCTACATTATACATGTATTGTACTGCTTGTAGTGTGCGTAGTCCAGTGGTTAATGATCCTGCCTCTGGACCAAGAGGTTGGGAGTTCGAATCCCACCTGATATGTACGTTGTTAAGGGTCGCAGTCATTTTAGAATGGGACGTTAAGCTGTGGTCAACTGTTAATTGTGCTTGTCGAAAAGAGCTAGGGGAATTTCCCTGGTACAATGAACCTGTAAATACTGTACATAGCAACTGTCTTCTCTGTCACAACGAAGAGACGAAGAAAGACAATAGAGAGTAGAAAATTTAAATGGCGAAAGAATCGAGGTCTCAAATACTGATAGGCGTGTATCAGGGCGTGGTGCTATTTTCTTAACACACGTGTCCAAGATATCACTTGCGTTGACAGTTAGACGTAGCCATATTTTACCATATGGCACCGTGTTAGGCAAAATCCCTGAATAACTACATAGCTACCGTCTGTACTTTACCCTGATAAACTAATATTTGGGACGCTTGGGCTGTCAATTTGTAACAACACTTCATACATTGCTTTATTAGCGTGTTTATTTTTGTTTTCAACTTTTGGGTATTTTCTAAAGCTCTTTAAGCCTTGAAGAGCTACAAATTGAATGAAATGCTTTCATTTTCAGCATTATAAACTTTTTAGTTCAAGTTTCAGAATGGGAGAGATTTTTAACAACATTCGTTTGATGGATGTCGAAAAACAGGCTTCACGACCAAAATTCTGTAAGTTAGGTCTTTTCAGCGACATTTGTAACATCCTTGGCCACCCGCGGTGTCGCATAGACATATGTCTGCGTGTTTGTGAAATATCATATCATGCTTCAGAGAAACCGATACTACTGAAATCATATAGCGTTAAAAGGGACAGAATTTTCATATTTGAGAACATGATGGAACAATTCATACATACAAGCAATGTAGGTTCCCGTGCCTTAGAAATCACTACCACAATTAGTTACAATATCTTGTTCTATTTTTTATTTTAGTTATTCTTAGTCTCTTGGGAACTGGCGACAACATGACCCAGATTTCGCGAGAAGCCCCATATCAAGACCAGATTCAAAAGGAACGATCTAAAAATGACGGTCGGGCGATCTCTTGTATGTCCTTATATGGGACAATTGTGTCCCACATATTATTTTTCTGGTCTGTATTGATTTCTCTGACATTATATTTATCACAGATGTCATTTTGAACGACCCGAATATGTCTGCACGGCAAAGCGTAATGTCCAAGCAGATAATAACTGCATAGTGCATATTACTGCGTAGTGCATATAACATTAGTGCAAAAAGAAAGAGAATAAGCTCGAATTCTAGCCTGTGTCAAAAAGCCTAATCCTTAAATCCGAATCCTCTACGCCATGAAACATAACGGTAGTCGGGACCGCCGTTCTGTATTCTCCAAGCAGAGGTTTGGGTTTTGGCTTCTTTGTGGCGAGTTTTTAGGCATTTTTATCGGGCTTTCTTATTAGCACTCGTGTCTTTTACGCCAACATAAAAAGATAGCGGTGCAAAAAAGGAATCCCGATAAAAAGCCTGAAAAGTCTCCCCAAATAAGCCAGAACCCAAACCTCTGCTTGGAGAGTAGCCGTTCTGCGGTATGACTTCGGTCGTTTCAAATGGCAACGACCGTTTAAGGTGGAATTTAGCAACGGTATGAAACAGGAGTAAATATGTTTTCCAGATGTTTCAGGATAAGGGCGACTTTAAAGCATTTACAAACTGCATGAGACTTTTCAGAGCGCCATGAAAAAAGGAACAAATAGACGTAGACATGACAAAATATTGTAAAGGCCCTGCGCTTGTTTTTCTGTGTATATCCCGAACAGCCAACTGTATAGAGTACACGTTCATTTCTGATTTTCCTTTTTTGTGCAGATCATTTTTCCCACTCCCAACGCACGATACTTTGCTTATTGTTTGTTCGCGCGCCAATGACAACGCATTTGACGACAGCTTTTAGACAGCGGGCGGGGTTTTATGGGTCACAATAAATTGTCCCAATAATACGTTTACAAAAATATGCCCAAATATATAAGTTATTTCGATAAAAAACATTGAATTTGGATCAGAGGATATTTTTTCCGTTGCATAACGTTACATTGTTTTTTGTTTTTGTTTTAGTTCTGTGGGAAGTACAAGTAGCTGGGGACACCTGTTATGATCTCGTTCCCAGCTCATCAGATATCTGTTTGTAACATTTGTGTTAAGTATAAACATGCTAAAATGTCTATAACAGACAGGGGGCGTGAATAACGGACTTGAACTTGAACCTGACTCGTTCACAGAGCTGTAACGCACGTTACCCTGAGGACGAGTTGTACTTCCGGTTTGTATAGTTGTGACCCCGCCCCTCCTTACCATGCCTCCCGTTCCCAGCTCACCACAGAGCCTGTACAGCGGAGGCAAGTTCGTCATGTCGGGTTCCCTCACCACCGATCCGGCATGGAAATCTCTGGAGATCTACCACGCCGAGCACGGCAACCGCCTCAACATGCTGCGGATGTTCAGGGAGGACCCGCACCGCTTCGACAAGTTCAGGTACGGCGCTATTTTTAGACCCAAAACCCGAGAAAAAACGTTAAGTTTTACCGGCTTTACGCCCCCCTCCCATTCGTACTTTCAATGTCATTTTTCTGGGAAACGCGGAAGTATGTTGCCGGCGTGCCACACGTAGGCAACGTTTCGTGTTCACATGTGTCTAGTGTTAGGATATATTGTCAGCTTTATTTTTTCTATATGGGTGACCTGTCATATTTACCTTGACCCGCGGATGAGGGGGATTTGAGGACTGTTATGATTTGTGGCGTGAAGTGACATTGACCTTGCACTTCGTTACCGAGCGGGGGTATTTATGTGGTTGTACGGGGTACCAGAAATGCCGATTTTCACTACAGGTATCTTGCAATGCGTACATAGAATGGTATTTCACTCCACACCCGTGAATTTCCTTGAAAACTTGTTACAGATGCTGAGCATCAACTACTGTAAATCACTTTATAATCGTGGTACTTAATTATATTCGGAGTTTTCGCGGTCACTTCTGTACCGAGAACAATTATATAATTCTCCAACTTTCTTTTTTCTGCACCTGCCGCCACCGCAAACATGTAGTTCCGCAAACATGTCCATTTTTCTCAGACTGTGAACTTTGGCTACTGTGAATATAGTGTGATTTACAGTAATAGTATTAATAATATTGAAACTCGCCAGGTGTTAAATATCATACAAAGTACGTGTGTCGACTTAGAAAGTTGCCAAAATCATGACTCTATACAGACATTTAAAGAACAGAATTAGGTTTTTGAAGCCGATTTTCTACCAGTCATTTCCTTAAAAACTGCTTAGTCATTTACACACTGTTGAGGAAATGAATGCATGAGTGAGCTAAGGCCTTCTAATGATAACAATTTAAGGCAAGGGTCAGCCATTTTATAAAGAAAAGCTCTTTGAGCTTAACCCTATAAACAATACTTAAAAGAGCATCTTTTTTTCTATGATGATTGGTTAAAAGGAAGTTTAATTTGGATTGAATCACTCAGCAGAAATTGTTTCCAAGTAAAAGGCATAAATCCTAGGAAAAAATGTTTCCTGTGTCACGACCGACCCTAGAAAAAAGTAGCCTTTTTATGGGGACCCCTGGAAGAGACAAGTTTTTTTGAGCTGATCGACCATTTCTAGCTCCATGATCTGGCACCTGAGTGATGAAACATTGTACAATCTGTTTTCCAACAGAGGGACATTAAACAAATAACTACTATTTAATACTTTGGTGTACTAAAGTTTATATTGTGGGACTCAGCAAACCCCATGTGTGGTGCAAAAAGCAGCACATCTAACAGGGCGATGATATATTATTGCGGGATATTTTAACACTTGAACTAGAATTCAGGACAGTCTAGGATTACATAAACGTGCATACTTTATATGATGTTTATGTCTACGTAATCATAAAAGGAACAATCATAGACAACATGTAGACACTACTAGTACTTCACCACAAAATGTGTACTTCTTGTTCAATTTTCATGAAATAAATGGTAGACTTTAAGTAACAATGTAACCCTAAAGTAAAAACTAATTACACAAAAATTATATATAAATGCACATCAAAATTACATGGTATTATTATAATAAACAACTCTTGCTATGGGAAAACTGCTACAATTCTGTGTGCCTGATCATTTTCTCATAAAAATTCTTTTAATGAAAATTAAAACCAAAGACTTGCACGCAGGCAGGTATTAAAAATTTTGACTTTTTAAAAAATTCTACTTTTGATTAATTTTCAGATAAAAATGGAGGAATAAGAAATAAATTCCTGTGCACAAACATAACAGTCCTTTCTGCCCAACTTCAATTAAGGCCACACCAATTTAATTTGTTGGTTCTCGGATTTTTTTCAGAAAAAATATGAAGCGACAGGGCAAAAAAAAATAAAAATAAAAACAGGTCTAGGCATCCTATTATAGGCTTAAATGCTACAAAATGAGCCATGAAGTCAACACAAAAGGCTGGGTTAAAATTTAAACATTGAATTTTGAACTTTTAATCGAACCACTGCAATGATAGATGGGAAAACTGTAACAACTAGGAAGAAAAGGACTTTCCTCAACTGTTGGGGGGCAAAACATGAGCATTTTTCAGTTGATTCAGGACCAGAATCAAATTTTTTTTTTTTGCAAGTCAGAAAAAAACGAAGAGGCGAATCTGAGAACCAACAAATTAAATTGGTGTGGCCTAGGGCTGCGTACCTAAACGTAACATCAGGTACAGGTACAGGTACCGGTACAGAGGTTTAGGTACAGGTCCGGACCTGTACCTGTACCTGAACAATTTGACAAATTAACACGTGTTCTTTTTTTCAATCATGACACAGAAACAATAATAAAGTGTTGACAACTTGTCAGTATCTTTATTCAGAAAACATCAAACACAACCCTGGATCAGCCACACTCTCGCGATGTCTCGTAAGACTGAGATCTCAAATCAATCGACGGTGTTTACGTCTTTTCCAGTGCTAATTTTTCGTCTTTGTGGTAGGATTTACCTATCTTTAGTCATATACATGGTGTAAACTAGCTATTTCGGTATATACTCGTTACTTCATGATCCGGTATTTTGGACCTGTACCGAAACGATTTTTACGGTATTGGACCGGTACAGTGTACCGGTCCGCAGCCCTAGTGTGGCCTAATGTTATATCTTTCAGTTTGCAACTATGTATCGTAATGATTTTGAAAATGATTTATGTTTATTGTTTTCCCTAGTATAAAGATGCAGACCCAGGATGGAGACTATCTGTTTGATTACTCCAAGAACCTCCTGAATGAGGAAATCTTCAGGATGCTCATGCAACTGGTCTGTAACATTAAAATAAATTGTTTCTTCAAATCTTGGTGTTGAATAACTTTGATTATGTTTTCAATGATTTCCTTTGGATTTTGCTTAAATTTTTATCGTACCATTAGGGGCACTTATAGGATGCCTAGGCCTGTCGCTTCATATTTTCTTACTACAAAAATCCAAGAACCAACTACTACTAGTAATTAGATTGGTGTTGCCTATTCTAACATTTCCTGATATACTGTGCCCTGAGTGCTGCTTTATTTTTCTACAGTAACTCATGACTCCTTCTCTGTTGCAGGCCCGTAACAGGGGTGTTGAGCAGTACAGGGACAGGATGTTCTCAGGTGACAAGATCAACTTTACGGAGGACAGGGCTGTTCTACACGTGGCTCTCCGCAACAGGAGCAACAGGCCCATGATGGTGGATGGTGTCAACGTACGTATACTGTAAATCACTTAATGTTCACGGTAGAAATTCCACTACAAAATAGCATTTCTGTTAGTAAAACACTTAATATTTTATTACAGGTAGATTTTTAAAAAAGTAAGATTGGTACAAATTACATCGAAAAGTAGCAGTTTTGTCTGGGTGTTAAGTTGATTTAATGAATCCTGGTGTTGAATGATATTTGATAAAAGTTTTTCTCATTTTCCCAGGTTATGGATGACGTCAATAGGGTGTTGAAGCAAATGAAGGACTTTACCGAGGTTTGCAAATTTTCCCTTCTACTTTTCAGTTTGTCTTTGTTAATCCTTGTTACTTGTGGAATTATATACATGTAGTATTTGACAGAAAACTAAGGCTCGTTGAGAATTTAAGTTTGTCATAATTTTTGTCCAATGTTGAAGAAACAATCCTTTTTTGTGTCTGTCTATTCTACAAAAAATTATGGTTAAACTTTTGATCAAGTTGTTTTTTTCCTTCTTCCAGTCTGTTCGCAACGGCCAGTGGAAGGGCTACACTGGCAAGGCGATCACTGACATTGTCAACATTGGCATCGGAGGCTCTGACCTGGTATGTATGGTGTATGTCCAAAGCCCTCTTAAATAGAACTCAAGTTCGCAATATCTGTTTTAGATGTCTGGCCACAAGGATGGTGCGTGCACTTTTTGATGAAGTTGCTAGGGGGCGTGAGGTATGCATGTTGTTTCAGATATCAACACAGTGTAAAGATGTACCAAGTACACATAGGTTACAAGGACAGTTTCTTGCTGTACTGATTGATGTCAGAACCCACGGAAAAAAAATTGGGTGCACAGTTCCAGTTTTGGGTGCACCAAGGTGCACATGCACCCAGTAGTTCAAGCCCTGAATTTATGTTAGTAGCTTTTTGTGCAATTCCTAGGATTGGTATCTGACACCTGTTAAATGATCAAGCTATAACAAAATGCAAAACATGTACAATGTTTTCCTAATCGTTTGATACAGGGGCCAAAGATGGTGTGTGAATCACTGAGGCCGTATGCCAAGCCTGGCCTGAACGTTCACTTTGTGTCCAACATCGATGGCACTCATATCGCTGAGAGAGTCTTCAAGAACCTCAACCCTGAGACTACCCTGTTCATGATCGCGTCTAAGGTATGATACACTTCTAACTCTTCAGAAACTTTGAATGGATCAATGTTTTGAGGTATGGTGTTATTATGTGTAAGTTAGAATGGCAACCGACATCAGCAACGCTGCCAGTTGGTAACCTGTTTATTGCTTTGTTGCAATCTCAATAAGATATTTTTTTTGTTTGGCATTTAGACTGACCTATGCATTGTATTGAGTAAGAGTACCTATTGAGATACTGTTGATTTCATTTTTGTTGTTCCGTGGTCATGTCAACAAATTAGAGGTTTTGATGTGTTATGAAATGAAATTTGATGTACATGTTTTTATTTCTTTTGTTCCAGACATTTACTACCCAGGAGACCCTGACCAATGCCAACTCTGCCAAGGCTTGGTTCCTGGAGAAGGCTAGGCAGGTGTGTAGGAACTAGTCAGGAGCTAGTCAGAAAGTACTTTCCCTCTACGATTGTTGCATTTCTGGCGCGATGCCTCACACCTTTAGCGATCAATATGATATGTGAAACAAAATTGAGATGATGAAAAAAAAATTCAGGCTGGGTAGAACACAGATTTAGACATTTGGCTTCTTGGTCTCTTTCCTGTAATAGCATTTGTGTAAAATGTACATGACAATGTTTTATTCATTCCTTCTACAGCCTCAAGAAGTTGCCAAGCACTTTGTCGCCCTGTCTACCAATGCCGAGAAGGTCAAGGCCTTTGGCATTGACCCCAAGAACATGTTTGTCTTCTATGATGTAAGTAGAACTTCTACATGTAATCAAATCCACATTACATATTGCCGAAACTACCGGTATGTTTGTTCATTCAGTCCTATTTTTGTATTAATAAAAGAAGGAGTTATAGTCCTAAATAGAATAATACTAAGTCTTTTATTTGCAACTCTTTTTAGTGGGTTGGTGGTCGCTACTCTCTGTGGTCTGCTATTGGACTGTCTATCGCCTGTTACATCGGTGAGTTCGGCAGATTATATAGTTTGTTTCGTTCTTTCTTTCGTTATGCTACCTACCTTGTAATGATGTTATACAGTACTGCTGTTCAGGTAAATTGTGGAGTTTCTAATTGTCATATTATTTTGTTCCAGGTTTCGAGAACTTTGAACAACTTCTCCAGGGTGCTCATTACATGGTAGGTACCAGTCTTTAATTTTGAATCCAGAAAAAGTTTGACTTTCCTTTAGTATGTTATATCAATAATCATACACACAATGTCTCTTAAAAAACATTTTACAGAATCAAAAGTTGATTGCAGTGTTTCTCTATTTCCAGGATAACCACTTCCAGAATACTCCCTTGGAGAAGAACGTGAGTACATTTAGGTTTTTAGACTTCTTTCACTCTTGAATATTTAGTACTAAAATGTTCAATATATGTTTTATAATTTCATGTCTTGTTTTAATTATGCTTAACAACTTACAATTTGATAACTTGTAGTTTATGACACGTTATGTGTCCTGTAGATCCCTGTGATCATGGCTATGTTGGGTGTGTGGTACCATAACTTCTACGGTGCAGAGACCCACGCCATCCTGCCGTACGACCAGTACATGAAGCGGTTTGCTGCCTACTTCCAGCAGGTGTGTTCTCTTCTCAGTCAAATGTATTCAACTACAATCATGAAAGTTCATCTGTGCTGATAGCTCTGTTTGGTTCCAACACAAGAGATTGTTCTCACCTATAGCTTTTGACCATTCACTCTGGTCTTCCTCAATAGACTGACCCAGTGGGACTTGTCACATGGCTTTTCTGACGTTGACGTTACACTTAAGAGAGGCCATGTGACAAGTCTCACTGAGTCAGTGTAACAAGGAAGACCAGAGTGACATCAAAAGATTTTGGTGAGAACAACCCCTTGTGTTGGAACAAAAGTTTTAACTTTAAACATATTTAACTACCGTCTATATTCAATTGATTAAAATGTGAAAATATATCAAGAATTAAGTCTAAGATCATGTTTCAGCATTTTATTGAACTGATTTTGGTGTGATTTTGGTATGACAGGATTATTTAAAAAAAAAAAAGAAGAGTTACCAGCAGTCTTCTAGCCAGTACAGACTGAATTGTATTCTTATTTCGATGACATAGGTAGTAATACATGTACATGTAATTTTGGATGTTCTAGGGAGACATGGAGTCCAATGGAAAGTACATCACCCGCCACGGCCACCGCGTCAACTACACCACAGGACCTATCGTGTGGGGAGAGCCTGGCACTAACGGACAGCACGCCTTCTACCAGCTTATTCATCAGGGTCAGTGACTGTACATTCAAGTTCATCTGTGTTGGCAGTTACATGTACATATCAGTTTAAAGTTTAAACTTTTGTTCCAACACAAAGGGGAAAATCTCACCTAGAGCTTTCAACCAGTCACTCTGGTCTACTTCGATAGACTGACCCAGTGAGATTTGTCACATGGCTTCTCTGAAGTGTGATGTCAACACTGGGTCAAAGGCAACTGTTACAGTAGTTTATGAAGTTTATTTACATGTATGTTGTTGTGTTTAATCCTGACAGGAACCCGTATGATCCCATGTGACTTCCTGATGCCCATGGATACACACAACCCTATCCAACAAGGCCAGCATCATGAGGTATATTACACAGTGTTCTTGGGGTTGCCAATCAGGTTGCTAGCTCGTCATTCCCTAGTGATTTCTAGCAATTCTTTGTTGAGGCCAGCTCGAGTTCTGAGTTTGTGTATCCTAATGATTCCCATTGTAGTTGGTGCTGTCGTGTGGAGTCTTCATTGCTCGTGCGGCAGCAACCCTTGACGTCGAGGACTGACTTTGAATAAAGTTTGAATAAAGTCAAAATTATTTGGACTCGCTCTCACCACATATATGAAGGAAACGGGACAGAAATTGTTTGGGTGTGCTCAATAATGGAGCCCCACTGCTCACCTCTACAATGTACATGTGATTACCATGCAACAGAAGTTGACCTCTGAATCACGTGAGTTCAGGAGCTGGCTTCCTTGTATATGATTACATCATTTGAGCTGTCGCTAAAATATATTTTTTGGCTCACAAAACCTTCCTGTGTTGCAGATCCTGACGGCTAATTTCCTGGCCCAGTCGGAGGCCCTGATGCGGGGAAAGACCCGTGAGGAGGCTCGGCGTGAGCTGGAGCAGAGCGGCTACACCGGCGAGCAGCTGGAGAGGCTGCTGCCACACAAGGTGTTCGAGGGAAACCGCCCGACCAACAGCTTCGTGTTCCAGAAACTCACACCTTTCTACCTGGGCTATCTCATCGGTGAGTTCGGCTGGGGGATTATCCTGGTTCTGGGTTCGAATCCCAGCCTTAAATAACTATTCGATACACACTACTGTCATCTGTGTCTTCTTAGTGATTGCACAACTTGCAAAAGCTAACAATTATATCCTTTCGTTTTTCTCTGTTTTAGCCACGTATGAGCACAAGATCCATGTACAGGGTGTGATCTGGGACGTCAACTCCTACGACCAGTGGGGGTGAGTGTAAACAAGTTGTGTGGTTATTTTTCATATTTCATTTGTATAACAAATCAACCTCTTACATGTACATGAAGGCATTTTGGTACCTTTTTAGCTTACCAGGACTCTTGTTTTTCTTCCATAAAAGATATTTCATATTTTGTTTTCCAGTGTTGAGCTCGGTAAGCAGCTAGCTAAAGTCATCCAGCCGGAGCTGAAGGGAAAGCAGCCTGTGAACACCCACGATTCTTCCACCAATGGCATCCTGAACTTCTTCAAGCAACACAGGAAGCAGTAGATCAAGAACTGAAGATCAGCATCTCTTAAGTTATACATCTGCAGTATCGTCATGGAATTGTGTGTGTAAACAAGAAAAAAGCATTGTACAAAGAAAGCAGCTGCCATGTCAATGAAAAAGAGCAGTATTCTATGAGATTTATGTTGTGGAAGCTATTGAGGATTGAGCGTAGTAATGCTTAAGGCTATTGTAGAGCTACATTGAGAGGAGAGCAAGGAAGGTAAAAGGACAGGGAGGTGAAAAAATGATTGTAGCAAACTGGCGCATGTTGAGCAAGCTGTGTCTTCTTGCAAATATTGAAAGATTTTTTAAGGTCCGGTGGGGTTTGAAAAAAGTATATGGAAGGCTTGATATGTGTTACTTGTCTTGTACAGATGCAAGAATCAATAAAGACATTCATTTCAAATAGTCTAAAAAAAAAGGAGCAAATATGCTTAGCAAAAAAGTAGGCAGCTGGATTTGCTTTGCTTTTTCTTCGCTTTGCAAATGTTATAACATATCTGGCTTGATGCAACAGTGTAGGTAGCATGTATGTAGGAAAAATGGTGACTTGGTGCTATAAGGTAACAAAACCAATGCTATTTTCCTTTATAGGCAACAGTAAACCTATGATGGTAATACATTGGTACTGTGAAACAAAGGGAACAACAGTTAGGCAGCTTTTGTCAACAACCAGACTACAGAGACATGTTTCCTGATGTCTTGTTTAACACAATTGTAGGTTGAAGAACTGAACATAACAAACATATCTGAACCACATCCTTCCATAAATAAAGACTTACATTAGTGCCAATTAACCAATCTGTGTCCATGTTCATCACAACACTGGAGCCTGAACACTGGTAATACTGTGTGACAGTATTGTGCAATTCATTGAGGTAAAAAGAAAGTTTTAGTAAGAGTATTTTACCCAATACCCCATATAGCAACTTCTGTGCATGTCTATGTGAGTTGTACATCAAGTTCTAACCATGGTGGGAATAAATGGATTCTATTTAAGTTGTATCTCTTGTTTTTGAAGTCATGTATTAAAAGTGAACCATTGTAAAGATAAGACTTTCAAATTTGCGTACCTTAATACAGCAACATTGAAAGTAACTAGTATACTTTACCTGATGAAATCACATCTCTAAAATGAACTTCAAGCATGTTTTGAATATCAGTCATATAAACTTATTTAACAATTTGAAACAACTTGAAATACAATGCAAATTTGCATTTCATACAGCAATATCTATAGTACAAATTATTACAATCCCCTGATAGTGACTATCTAGGAAATGTACAGAACATTAGATGCCACAACCAAAGTTTGCCCTAAGTTTCATTTCTATGACATAGCTGCTTCTCAGTACCAAAATTGTCATAGATTTACCCATACACTGTAGATATAACTGCATGACTGTTGTGCTTGGGAGAATCTTATCCTACAGTGTTTGGTTTACAGTAGCTCACTGTTCTGGCCGTGTGATCTGTGCTACTGCCATCACCCGTTGGACCAGGTCTCCCTTCTTGTCCTTGCTCTTACACACCACACCCTTCTGTCTCAGCCAGGCAATCAGTGTGGCTGTGTTCACTTTCTCCAACTGAAACAAGAATTCAAACATGCCAGGTCTCCATGAAATATTTAGATCTTGCATGATGGTGACTGTGAGTTCATCTCATTTACCATGGCGTGTACAAGTCTTACAACACCAGCTCTTAAAGGAGTCCATCAAAACTGTGAAAACAGTGAGTGCTGCCATATGAAAAGGTGATTACTGACTTCTCTGGTATAAAGCAGCTTACCTGGTTTGCATGAGCCAGGGAAAGTATATCCACATTTTCCTGTACTTTTGGTTTGGGTCTGGGCTTCTTAGGAGTGACATGACCTGCTCCTTCCTATAATAAGCAGAGTTCAACAAAAGATCAAAATTATGCATGTATCTCGTGTGTTTTGCCAAAGGGTACAAGATACAGAAACATTATGTGGACCCTGACCTATAGTCCTGTTACCGTTGTACATTTCAGTACTGCACTCATTACTGCCAAAATTTCACGGGTCATATTGCATTAATTTTTGGAACACTTTGGGAATTCTCAAAATGCAATGTTGTATCACAATGATAAATACTAACCTCAATCTTCCTCTTGTTTCCTGTAGACATACCTTGGCAAGGCTGTACATGTACAGGGGACCTGCCAAAGTTTAGCTGCCTTCCCTTGGTGGCCATCAACCCAGCCTGAGGTGTTCTCTGTAAATCTTTGGGACCATTGAAAGACTCTGGGATGCTGTCTTGGCTCCAAGATGTACGCGGGATGTTTTCTCCTGGTACTTTTCCTTGGATGGTGTGATTTGCCTTGGCAGTTGCCGGTTGCTGATGATCAACATTAGGAGCTGAAGTTTTCCTATTGAACATAGGGACACTTCTTGCTCCTACTGGCCTGGAGGAGGGCACGTGTGGTGGATTCTTCTTGCCTGTGGTGTATTCTTTTACCACGTTCTCCTGCTTCTGCAAATTTTTTGGCTTAAAGATTGGGACAATCCGTGCTCCTGCAGGGATTGGCTTACCGTCCACAGAAGACCTTTGGCCCTGATCAGATGTGGCTAGCCCTGCAGCCCATCTACCGATGACGCTCGCGGAAGATTTGTGGTTGTTTAACGCTGCGTGGCCGTATATCCTGGCAGCAGCGCTAGAGAGAGATCTGTCAAGTGCTCCGCTTAAGGCTGATCCAGGTGTTCTTGCAGGTGTGTTCTGAGATGGAGGAATCACCTGCTGACTCAGCACCTCTGGCGGGCTGTTGTCATCCCTACTCTTGTTAATAGGCTGCGTTGCTGGACAGTCGGTCCTGTCTTGGGATGATGAAGAAGTGGCAAGCCTGACTGGCTGGGTAAGAGTGTAGCTAGCTGGTGTTGCCCCTGGTCGGTAAGGACCTCTGCTTGGTGGTGCGGCAGCTGTCAAACTTCCCCGAAATAACGAGCTGCCCTGATGTTGAAAAAAAGGGAGGGAACAGTATACAATGTATTGTACTAAACATACCGGTACTTATAAGGCAATGATAACAAATCAAAGGCAGAGCATTTGCTAGTGAACTCAAGATGCATTCCTTGCACTCAATATTTTTCAAAACGTTATCTGACTTGAGTCGCTTGAATAACTATCAAGTTGCTTGAGTAACCATTTTTCGGTTTATCTTACTACCTGGATGTCTAACCTTCATGGACATACCTGTGTACTCGCCTCCCTCAGCCTGGCTGTGGTGTACAGGGGTTTCTTGGTGAAGCGCAGTACGTGGCCACACATGACAGGTAGCCTGGCGTGGAGATCTGCCAGGAATGCAGCAGCTACTGCAGCAGAGTCTGTCCTCATCAGCTCCACGATGTCACACTTCCGCACACACCAGCAAGGGTAGCTGACAAGGACTCATTAAGGAATCTTAGTCTCTAAAGACAGACTTTCAGCACCAAGGACAGGAATTTTTTCCCAATGATCTAAATGATCCACATGACCCCACTCTACAGACAGACTTTCAGCACCAAGGACAGGTATTGTTTTTTCCCAAGACCTGAATATGCATTCATGAATTTGCCTGTTGTGACCATCTATGTACCTCTGGGGTCTGCTTTCTTTTTCAGCTTCTGTATAGCTTCTTTTAGCTTCTATACGGTACATTTGTGACGTGTAGTGGGGGGGGGGGTTCTATCGAAACTGTCACAAAGCAGAAGGATACGTAAATGTATTTTCTCCTATTGGTCTGAAGTAGATGTTGTAGTAGACAACGCCATCTTCTGACTCTGGCAGTCTGTATCCATACTGCACATGTGGACATGACAAAAATGACACCATTTTGATGTGTAAAATTATTTCTTAAGCAATGATGGCTATATCTTGGAACTTGGAATGATGGCTTAATCTTGGAACTTAAATACAGCAAAAATTCAGGATATCTAACCTACCGTGTTCTTCCAGTGTCTGCGCAGGTCTTTGTAGCCTTGGAATGGACAGTTTTCTGGGAGCTGGCGGGTGACTGAGATCACTTGCCCTTTCTTGTTGCTACAAAAAAGGCATTCAGTTCCATATGCAGGTCTACATTTCATAGCATATTTGAATAATAATGATCTATGATTTAACTCTGAGGAATAGTGAAAGGACTCTATACATAATATCATAGAACCTTTAACATGCTCCTGTACCTGGGCAAAACGTAGCACCATCGATCTTCAATGAAATGCTCAGAGATGACTGCATATGGGTTGTTATAGAAGATCCAGGAAGCCTGTGGGTCAACTGCAAAGTCTTCAATCTGTGAAAAAAAAATCCAAATTCCAAGTATTCTTTGACATTTCTTGTTCCAACACAAGAAAGAAACACCATCATGACTTTTCAGTCAATCTCGTCAACCTTCATCAGATGCATGGTCCACTGTGCTGACTCACTAGATGGAAGTCGGAAGCGTGATGACTTCAGGAATGAATCAAAAGTGGCGGTAAGACGGAATAAACCTTAAACTCTACAACTATAACTTACCAATTGCAACACAGATGGGCTTTTATTCGAATACTCTTTCATGTTATCAAGGAACACATATTCATGATAAAGACATAAATCTGTCCTTAGTCTTGTCTCCAGTGCAATCCTCATGTCCTTTAGACCACACCCTTAATTACCAGGTCCTAAGGAGGGAAGCTGCAGCATTTGAGCAAAATGTCTGGTATGGGTTGAACCTTACCTTTGTTTGTGGAAGTTTCACAGTCTTTGCTTCAACTGCCATGCACACTTCGTCAGCACAGGCTGTCATCTGCACCTCTGGACAAGTGTGAAATGATAAGTACTAGTGATCTACATTTACTTTTCTTAAACAATCATTTTGAACATCACTTCTCCCCATTGGATTATGGACTCTTCTTTCTCCGTAAAAAAGCTGGACATACAATTCATCATTCATGACAGATACAAGGTGTGATTAATTATAAAGTGCAGATTATCTGGCCAAGAGAGACAATATACGTTGTACTCACTGACTGCATTCATTGGTCCCTTGCACATCAGAAAATCTCTCCCTGCACCAATAAGAGATCATGAACTCTTTAAGCTTGTACCCTGGCTAGCAAGAGATGGGAAACAAGGACTGGACAGACAGGAAACTATGACTATGACCACAGCACAATTCAGCAACCAGTAAGATTGCCTGCAAGTCTGGTGTCATATTCATTTATTTGACAAGGTGAAGGTAACCACTGCAGCCCAGGTCATTTCGGGCACATTTTAATTACAAGGAAGCAATGGCTCAGGAATACGAGGTACTAGTAAGTTACAAAAGTGTCTGTAACAGTTTAATATCTAACTTTGAGTAAGAAAAAGCCCACGTACCTTGTACAAGTATGTCCCCTACTTTGTTCCAGTTGGGTGCCAGCCTGGCGACCATGGTGTACATCAGACAGGACTGGAGCAGGGAGAGGGTGACATCGCTGACCTCTGACACAGACAGGTTCATCTTCTCAAACCTCGGCTTCAGCTTTCCTGACTCATAGATGGAGCTCTGTGATTTACAAATCATACTAAATTGTCAGAACCCATAATGTAAATTCAAAAACGTCCCACACTAACAGAAAACAACATTAAATTTCCTAGGTCTTACCTGGACAATAATGTTGATGGTATCATAGTCGTCTACTGATGGAGATGCCAGGATCCCAGCTTCAGTGAAGATGAGTTCTCTAAAAGCACAACAAAACAAACTTAACATTCCACAAGACAAATATAACGTTAACATCAAAAGAAAACTAAGTTTGGAAAAAACAGGAAACAAAATCTGACCTTGGCAACTGAGTTGTTTCATTATAACTGTTTGAACCTACTGTCATCCAACAGATATCAAACATAACATTCTTGATATAACCTTACGTTCAAACATTAATCTTCTTTCTGGTAGTGAATTCATAACACGATTCCGAGTTCACTATAAATGATCACTATAAATGATCAAATAAACTCAAAATTAACGTTACCTGCATTTAGTGATCTGTAGTTGAAACTTGCCGGTTGCAGGGCCGTTACTCGTGGAAGTTTTGGATACCCTCTTGACGGTCAGGGTCACCACACACAGTCTTTTCAAGTCAGGTAAACTTGAGAAGAATAACAGAGCCTGTCCTGTGTGACGATTTTCCACCATTTTCCTCTGATCGTGTCATGAAACTCCGAACTTCCCGCCTTCTCGGTCAAACCCGCTGTGAACCCGATGAAAACGTCACTTTTCCGTTAACTGCGACAGAAAAGCTTGTATTTTGTGACCAAAAATGTATGTAAATATTCATAGGTTGTGAATAGTAACGCAAAAAAATCGATCATCGCATGAATTTTCAACCAAACTGTCCCCTCTGCCACCTGTTGTGTCGTCTGCAGGTCAAGAAAAATAGCAGCACATTCCATCACACTACATTCGTTTCTCCCAAGTGAGCGCAAGAAAAGCATTATGAAAAGCACAATTGACTGCGTCGCAAAACTGTGACAAAATCAAAAATTCAAATACAATGTATGAGTTACAGGTGGATTTTGCATCTGATATCCCCGTATAGTATGTGGCGTGTAAGTGCTAAGCGGTTGGGTACGCCGGCTTCCTATGGGGATTAAAATGCCCGCTGTCCCACATGATATAAAAGTAGTGAATCACGGTGATATACTAGTAACGTTAAAAGTTATTTTTCATTTGGTACTTGTCAGTTCGTCCCATATGATCCAAGATTTTTTTTAATTAGAAAATTTCCCATACTTTTTATCGCTGTTGTTCGTTCTTTTTCTTTTGGATTTATGCACAAATTTTATTGAAAAAGGCTGCTTCTTTCCGATGAGTAACGCAACGCAACGTTAAGTATGTAGAGTCTCAATCAACAGATTCCCCGTAAAGTTCAACTGAACAGTGGATAGGTACAGTAGGGGGAAGAAATATTATGACTGTTAGACAGGTCTGGTCACACTTTTATTTGTTTGACCTACTTGTGCGTTAATCCACTAAATGGGTGATGACAGCAAAATATTAACATTACGGGACTAATGCAATAACGGGACTACAGGATTCAGGTCAGCAACCTTACGTGTTAGCTCATTGACTTCAAATGTCATTACTTTGAGAAATGTCTTTATTTGTTTTCTAGAAAAATGACTGGCTTTTTAAAAGAACACTGGTATTACTCGGGATGGAAACTGTAGAAATAAAATACAATTTTTTTGATGTTGTTTGTCTTTTTTATGAACGCAAATTATTTTATTCCTAGCTCTTTGTTCCTGGAAAAAAATTAATTGTGCTTTCTGCTTTGAAATATTATATGACACTTCGCTAATCTAGAATTCAAACTCGCCCAAATATGTTTTTTTCTTACTCAGAAAAACAAGAAAAATTGAAATTGGTAAATATTACAATTGCTCCCCAAAGTAGTTGTATGCAATTGGAACATAAACGTTATCAACGCAATTCAAGTGTAATTTTGCTATAAACTGTCCTACATTGATCAAACTAACATGTTTTCTCATTGAATACCAAACCGCCTCAAGATTGACAGCCAGACGGGTTGAATATTTTCTATCCCCGAGGGATGCCCTGCTTGGGACGTCCCGTGATCTTCGGGTATCAGGTGACTCTCTGAGCCACTTCGAGTCGTATTTTATGATTTTATTTCTCTGAAGTTCTGAACCGCATAAAACGTCTATAGCTGTGTATTTCCATTGTAATATTTTTATGTGTGGAAATTTGGATAATTGTTTATGTAATTGGGGGAACAGTCGACAAAGAAAAGACAAAGATCAACATTTACTACGCAAAGTAATCTTTGCGTGTCGATGCTATCGCTATCTCTTGGGGCTGGCATCATCAACTTCCGGTTCAGGTCACGTTTCAAGATGGCTGACCGACGCAAGGACTGAACGGAGGGGCCGCCAAGAATCCCTGGAATTTCGCCCTCAATTATGCGTTTACGTTGCCCGTGTCCACCATTCTGAGGAAGGTAACGATGTGCACGACCTAGAGGCGTAGGCTGGGCTTCCTTCGCCGAGTTGTAACCACTTTTTGCGGTCGCGGGAAAGCGGAGAAAAGTTGGCGGGTTTTCGTGCATCAAGTCCTGCAGAGCTAGAGAGGTGGTCTGTGAACCAGCCAGCGCGCGACGCGCCAACACTCCTACTTGCAAGTAATTTTATTCCCCTACAATCTTTTCAAGTATTTTCATAATATCTGCCAGCGTTGCAACGATTTTTCATAACCTTTGCGTGACCCTAGGTTGGATTTTTAACGGCCGCAGGGTTTGTTTTGCCCGCTGTTGTGTGTGGTAAAACTATAAACGGTAACATGTGGCGCTGTGTTATTTCGGTGTGTTATTGTTTAGGTTCACTGCACAATCACCATGTCAGCGTTTAGCACGGTTTTTATAACATTGTAAAGAATGAATTTTCGAGGAATTACCAAAATCAGCAACATAATATTTTTAATTTTAGGATAGCGTTGCCAAGGCGTATAATTTCATACAAATTATAGTATTTTCTCACTACGTGATAGCGCTAGAAATTATGACATCACCTCTTCACGATAGACGCAAAAATGGAGATTTTTACCTCGTCCAACCCGAAATGATGTTAACAGAGCAAACGAATTGTGTTAAAAACACAGCTCAAAATTCTATTTTGGGTAGACTACTCGCCACTGTTTTTGTAGTAAACATTTAGCTACAGGGGTTTGTTTACAATAATTACACCTTGGTTGTCATTTGTAATACCTAATTTACTGACACAAGTCATCTTATGCCACCCAGATAAATTTGCACTGGACTATAATCACATGTTAAGTGTTTATCCTCAATGTTTACATATTCAGGATACTAGTAGTAGTGTACTGTTGAGTGTCAGTATGTACAGTGTAGGTTACACCTTCATCAGTTGTTTCTGACAACTGTGTTATTTTCTTTCAACCAATCACAGCTTGAGTACAGATAACAAGGTTAATGAAGAGGAGGGGGTAAGGTTTGGTCCTGTTTGTCATCTTAGGAAGAGAGGAGCCCAGGGAGAGAAGATCTCTTCTCCAGCTGTGAGAGTGGTTACCTAGGCAACCATGCAGTGTGGCAGGGACATGTGCAGATCAGCTGCCGTCAGTGTAACGTTACTACCTCAACATTGAACTGTGGGCGTGCTGGGGCGACATGGAAAACATACGCCGCCATTTTAAAGAGTTCAAGCCCAAGCACGACACGGAGACGTCAGCGGCGACAGGACACGGTCAGAGCTCGGATGCCGCCGCGGGAGGCGGCACTGAGTATCGTTCTCGGAGCACCAGCATGCCGGTCACGCTGGACATGCATGTCGCCGAGATCCAACAGTCCGTCAACCATTTTCTCAACACTCTAAATTCTCTCTGCGGGGCTGGGACCCAACTGGCGGAGGTCTTCTCTACCGTGTTTGAAGAGACGATGTTGTGGGACGTCACGAGGCAGCTGGTGCAGATTTGGAGCGACGTGAGTTTAGCGACAAGCAGCAATAGTACGCAGGTGAAGGAAGAAGTCGTTATGGCTCTGTCCGAACTAGCGCTGAAGGGGGAAGACGACGCATCTACAGACGGCAACTCATCCTTACAAGAGCAAGATCTCCAGGTAACGTGTTCTTGTTTTTTTCCTTTTTGTTGCATTTTAAAGGAAATATGACAGTAAAAGGAATTAAAAAGTCTAAAGATATATATATGTTGTTATTATAATGTTAATGTACAAGATGAAAAGATGTAGATGCTGAGATGCTGTACAAGACAAAAACCTAAATAATACTCCAGAACAGTTTGCAAACAGGATTCTTGTCTTTTACAAGTCGGTGTTTACACTCTAGCATGGTGGTCTGGCAATCCACAGATTCTTCTCAAAATTTCTCTCATACGCAGCTATTGCTATTGGAGATCTCATGTTTTGTCTGTTAGACATACTATAGGCTATTTGTGACATGCATAAAACCGCACAACACCAATTTATTTCCTTTATTTGATATAATGTTATTCCATTTTTATATAATTCTATCAAGTGGATAACAATAAAATGACAGACTTGGAATGTTAGATTAATAATAATAATACACTGTATCAAAACTGGTTTCAGTGGATAATACATCAATTACATGTACTATACAAGAGAAAGGCAGCTTATGTTATTTCTTTTATTAGATGTCTGGGAAATAACCATCCCACCAACTGGGAAAACAGCCATTCAAACAAAAATAGAACTGTGCAGCATCTCAGTGAAACTCTGGCTTATGTCTTGTACACTAGGGCTTGAAATTGTGAGATTATGGAAAAAAATATAAAATGCTTGCAGTATGCTTACAGCATCACATGTCACAGAAAATTTATTTAGAATACATGTATTTAGTTTTTTCACTACTGTGTACTCAAATATGCAGGTAAGACTATGCAGTGCTATTTTGTAGGATGTGTCAACAGTAAGGAATTTGTGCCCACTGTTAGTCATATAGGACACCATCTCTGTTTCAACATCGTTCCTGTTGATCGGCATACTTTCAAGCATGACTCAGTCGTGATGACAGTAGACATACAGGTAGTACTGGTACAAATGTAAGTCTGGCAACAGCCTTGTAGTAAGAATGTGATATCATTATCACTGAATATAGGAGAAAGGTTCATTCCCAAAGAAGCAGCATCTATTGTTACCTTTGTCAAGAAGGCTATGTTTTCCATAGCGTTTGGATGTATGTGTGTGTGGTTTAGCACAATAACTTCAGAAGCTCTGGATGGATTGTTATGAAGCTTGGTAGGTGGGTAATAGGGTATGTCTTGATGAGACCTCGAATTGATTAGATTTTGGGCCCCCTGGCAGCTTTGCTTGGCACTGCAGCGGAACATTTGGGGAAGATATGATGTTGTGGAACTCTTGTTTTTCATTCATTGTCATAAAGTTGAAAATAACCAACTGATTACCCTTGCAGTTGTGCTTTTTATCATTTGAAGAAAATCAGTAATAAGAAAGAATTAGGTCCTTGGTTCTCATGATATCAGTAAACTGAGATTCAAACTTGTGGTTCAGAATCTGGGCTACCAAACACTTAGATCACTGTTATCTTTCTATTAGTAATCAATACTGTGTTGAGAACTGGCACCTATCAAAGTATCATGCTGGAAAAAAAACTCTTCAGATGGTATCTCAATGGGAACATTCAGACTATGCTCTTGGGACCAGCTCAAGCATCAGCCCGATCAGGCAACCAAAATAAACAAATGCAGGAAGGCCAAATAGTCCATTTCTCAAGGGAACCAGACCAGAATAGAAAGCTGTGATTTTGCTCAGTTATCAGAAGAAGGTTTCAGTAAATGGTAGTGTACATGTAGTGTTGTTAGAATCAGTGTGACAGGAGAGAGCCTGTTTTTCCTTACCAACACTGCCTGGGAGTCATACCAACGTTCCTGAGAGTCACATACCAACGTTCAAGAACGTGCTGAAGTAGGTGCTGTGGAAGTTGTCTGATGAGTCAAGTGATAAATCTTGTCACTGTTTCCATGGATGTGACATTGGAAAATTGCTAAGATATAATATCATATGGAAAGTTGCTATTTTACTTGACACTCAGTAGTTTATCAATATTACTAGGAGTACAGCCTGCCCAACATACTTGCATTTTGATATGGTTGGATGCCTATTAGTATTACTGCCTCCAATATATCTTTGTCATGATGTTGACAGTTCCACATACATGCTGAAATTGGATAGATTTGAATCATGATGTCTACTTTATGTATTTCCATGGTTGTCATTTGAAATCTTACTCAAATTATGGGAAATAGCATTTTATCATTCTAGATAGAAATTTCACTCCACCCCAACGCACAGATTTCTTGTATGATATACTATGATAGCTAATTTTTATATGAAGTATATGCTTACAATCTCTATTTCAGGTTTGTTACAGTCTACATTATTTAATTGTCTGATGGTCTTGTTAAATCATAATTTTTATTTACAGCTATTGTAAAAGCTCAAGTTCATCACACTAGATTTTGATGAACTACACGTTGCCCACCTTTATCTAACCAGTCTACCTTGAGCATCTTGCAATGGAATGGTCCTCGGCATTCCAACTGGCTAATTAATTAACAGTTCAAGGATTTAACGACTTTCCTGTCTAGCTGCTACATAGCAAGCATCTGAATTAGGGTTGTGAATTTTTGTCAAGGTAGGAATTTGCCCAATATTTTCCAACCAGATATCAAAATCTATGCAAAGCATGTGATTGTTGACATTGAAAAATAGTTTAACACTGAGTGGTCCTTATGCACAGTTGGTTATCTATTCTAAACTACTCAAAGAATGTAAACCTCATCCAAGGCTGGATTTTGCCAGTATTAATAATGGCGAACACGTCAACAGACAAAAAGATACATATCTTGGGCCAAGAGCTACAAGCCTACTACGTAGTAATATCGTTCAGGTTTTATTGTACATTATAGTTAAAAGCCTCTTCTTGACATCTACCAATCCTTCTGCATTGTGTTAATTTTTTTTTTATTCAGGGCTTGAAATATCACCTAGCGACCTGCAGAAAAAAAATGTAAACATTTAACAACTTTGAAACAACGTATGAAATACAGGCTAGCTGCTATGAATTACATATTGCAGGAAACAGATAGTCTTGTGACATTTTGCTGCAAAACATGTGCTCGATGTTAGCTTTGATGTGATGAATTCAGATCGGTTCAGTATATTACCATCAGATAATGCAGACGCTTCTAGCTTAATCAGCACTCCATTTATACCAATGACGCAAATCCACCTACACACCGCATCACATGTGTACCAGCATCTATTCATGCATGGTTGGGTGCCATTTGAATCAATTGTTGTTGAATAGATAGCAGCCTTTTCAAATTCATTAGGGGTTAAATCCAGTAACACTATATGACGTCTAACTGTAATTACATTTTCACAGATGGCTGCTTAGCCTACGGCTATCATAACTTTTTACAGCGTTGAAATTGGCAGAACTAGAGCGAATGATTTTGAAAATCATATTTTGACCTCAGGTTTCAAATTGTGACCTATATTGCTAGTTGTGTGAAATTGCGTCTGAGATATTTTTGACCCTTTGACCCAAATCTTAAAGTTGCCCAATGGGGAAAATCTGCTAAATTGCATGGAGCGCCTTTGATAGGATATTTTTTGCTGACACAACCAATCAACGCACATGAGATTAGAGTTTACTTTTGATTTAAATGTCAAATCTCAATCAGTATTATACCCTAAGGGGTATTCCAGATTGCATTATCAAGAAGAAATTATGTCGTATTGAAAGCTGGAATAAGAAGTTGTTTCTTTACAATTCATGTGATATATGTTTTGAGTAATTTGATTTTGAACAGTTACCCAGGTGGTCTCTGTTCTAAGGGAAAAAGTTATTTCCGTACTTCCCAGGGCATTTTGCAAGTTAGAGATTTATATATACACTGTATGATTATATATTTGGGATGGGGGTGGGGGACTACCGTTAATGTATCTTGTAGTTTTTTTTAGACAATTTGGTGATGTTTTATACCTTCGATGGGATGCATTAGAAGTGTTTTTAGGCTTAAGTTACAGATGTGAAGATACAGCCATCATCATCAACCTTACAGAGGTTACATTGTCCCCTGATTGAATGGCTGTGTAACGTGCCTGCCACTGGTAACACCTGATTTTCTGGGTAGGTATTCTGTGTACACTGGACTGATCTCTGCCTCTGAGGTTGTTATGCTTGCAGATGGCATGCATAGTTAGCAGGGTTTGGTGAGGGGGGGGGCTGAGATGAGGAGGGCAGTTGTCTCATTCGGGGATCACGAATATGCAAATAAGTACATGCTGAAAGTCAACTCATCTATAAAGTGCGACAGGCAATCAACGTGTCAGGTTGCAGCAATCGAGCAATAATCCATACAGTATTCACACAGGTACAACTAGCTCTAACGTTCGGGGTAACTTTTTGCATGCACTCATTTGCATATTCGTGATCCCTGAATGAGACTGCCACCAATGAGGAAGTATTGGTGTCCCTTCAGTAGTAGATGTCAGCACATCTGTACTCAAGAGGTGACACTCCTGATGTGTGGGGTCAGACAGGGTCAACAGCTGGTCAGGACAGTTGTGTCTAGACTGCCCCCCCCCCCCCATAACATAGGAGCAACTTTATTGCTTGACATTGCACTTCTTCATTTACCGAAAATGATTTCAGGGTAGTAAAGTTAATTTTGTAGTCCCTTTTTAATGTAGTACGTTAAATCGACCCTATCCCATAGAATGCTGATATCTATGAGGCACAATTGCGATGTCGTTGATAGAATATGGTAGCTTGTCAAATTGTAGCTAGCTAGAGAACTGTCAACAGCATGAAAATGGGGCCTTGGTAGGAAGTTAGGAACACTTGAATATGCCTGCCAGGGGAGCAGTTTTCCCTTGATGATTGTTTGCAAGATGGGACCACTTGTTATGGGATTACTTTCAAAGCACTTCAGTCCACAGGTTCAGAACAACAACTGTTACATTTTAAACATCAAGCAGTTTTCCCATATAAAAATGTAGTCAGACTCAGAGTCCTATATAGCCTGGTATCCAGCCTTGGCGGGGAGCGG